TGCAATTTGGTGAGCTAATTAGAGATATGATGAAAGGTGTATTAGTCAATTAATGAAGGTCAACTTCCTTGTGTTATATTATGAAAAATACAAACATAATTTGCAGATTTATACCTTTCATGAATGTATGAAAATATTCGAATATCTAATATTATTCTATTATATCTATTGATCTTCTGAAGCGATACCGATACACATATGCAACCTTTTTTTCAATCATCGAAACATGCCTTGTAGGTCCGGGTCCGGGATCACCTTCAGTTCTCTCTGCGAATTTTCTTATATGGCCTCAATCGAGACGAAATGGGTTCCACGGAGTGGTAACTTAAGTTTTGGAAACAAGAAAAGTCGCATTAGAGCAAAGTCCAGTAAATACGGTGGTTGATCGATGGTGTTGAAGAAAGTTTCGGGTATTGTTTTTGTGATCGGACATTCAAACGGGACAGACGGTCAATAAAGAGTATACTTGAACATTTCAAGGCGTTTGCGCGAAAACATCCGTCGTCAGCCGGAATTTCGGCCCAACAAATTCCGGAAACTTTCTGGTCTTAATGTATTCTTCGAATTCCATAGCATTCAAAGTTCAAGCAGAATATATGACACCCCACTTATTTTCACGACTGCTAAACAGAGTTTTATCCGTTCAAAGACTGTTTCGGTTTCTGCTTATACAACAACAACTACTAGCCGAATGCAAGTTTTCAACTGGTAATCATGTCTTCAGCAAGAAAACCAACTTTCCAAACACATGCTTACTTTAACAGCGGTTTATAGTCCTTCAATCTTTCAAAATATTTTTGAATTGAACCGCATTAAAATGCTCTGAACTCAAAGAAAATTAATTTCGTTTTTGAAAAGTTAATCGAATTGAAGCGCAAAATATACCTGATATGTTTGTTTAATTTGAAATAAAAGTAAAATATAAAAATAAGTTACAAATAGATTTATTCGCGTTTTTCAATATACAAAATAATATAAGTTCCATCACAAGTAATTACGATAATTTTATTTTAATCACAGCAAGCTTCTAATTCATGGACTCAATCGAAATAATACCTATTAAAACTAATCTCAGAAGCTTCAAAGATACCAATCATACATATCTGTTGTTTATGTATGTCATAGCAAATAAACTGTTTGTCTTTGCACGCTACTTATTTTCAAACTTAATTTCAAAATTCATTCATTACGATTTAAACACAAAGATTTATGAACACCAAATTTTAAGTGTGTTGGTTTAATTTTTGTGTATATATGTAAATTAA